TGTGTTTTAATGTTGGAGACCGTGAGTGTTGTTGTGTAATCTGTTGTAGGTAGCGTGTATGCAGCTCATCAATGCCCTTGTTACCTCTCCTGATGATTTGGACTTCAGGCTTCACATCAGAAATGAATTTATGCGTTGTGGATTGAAAGAGATCTTGCCTGTAAGTGCCCTGCAGTCTCTTCATTAATATTTAAATTAGAGGAGTACTTGAGTTAGGGGAAATTTAGATAAATTACCTTCAAGAATAGTTTATGGGGAAGAGGGGAAAAAGCTTGAGCATAAAAGTCTATTTTTTGAAATATAAATGATAGGATTTGAGTATTATTTAACACTTTAAATTTTTAATGCTGATAATCTGTTAGATGGTTGTTTTTGTTTATACTCTGCATTCTTTTCTTACTGTTAAAAATGAAAAGATTCATCCTGATTTCTATTTAATATCTCTAGAACTTAAGACATATTAAGAATGATGGCTTGGACATCCAACTTAAAGTCTTTGATGAGCATAAGGAAGAAGATTTTATTGAATTCTCCCATCGCCTTGAAGATATTAGAGCTGAACTTGAATATCCTTTTGTTCTGACGTATATACAAACGCATGAAATTACTGCCAAACCCCTAACAACCAATATCTTCAGTTTTAAATTCTTTAAATAATTTCTATATAAAGAATATAAAATCACATGCTTATTAAAGAAAAGGATGTTTATATAAATATGACCTTAATGTGTGTTTTTAATGAATAAACAATGGATCTTGTAATCTAAGACTGAGTTCTGTTGGAGAGGCCCCTTCTGTATATGTTTGCATTGGTTGGCACCCCCCTTTCCATTGATTGTCCAGCCTAAGTAATAGGGTAGCCTGAGACCCTGCTGAGCTTCTGCCCTATACTGTGGGCGCATCCACCTATGTGCCTGTGTTAAGTCTGTGGATCTGTAAAATGTTTGTGTTATGGATATACACCAGCTCCTTTCTCAGGCTTCTTCCTCAGAGCGAATTCCTGACACCAGTTCTCTTGGTCAGTTGCCCTCAGAACTCAAAGCTATTGAAGGAGAAGCCATAGAGTGTTAGATCAAGTCTTCACTTGCACAGTTTTTCCTCTTATTTCAATTCTTACTACTTGTATTTAATCACTTTTTGTGTGTATATGATGCCCATTCAGAATAAGACGTGATGATTTCTCAAAACCATACCAAGTGAATTATATGTCATATTATTGCAGTTCTTTGGTGTAGAGGATAAATAAATCACATATTCCTTAATGAATTTACTGAAGCATCTGATGTTTACAACATTCTGTGGAACAGAGTTAAGGAAACTGGAGCAGAAAAATATTTTATTTCTATTCTTCAGCATCTTTTATTGATTCGAGATGATTATTTTATCAGGTAACAGGAACCTATAATCTGATTTTTTTTTTTTTGCTAATAAACTTATCGTGAAAATTATCTGATTTGGGCAAACACATAATTATATGACTTTCATTTCTATTGTAATATAGATTCATTGAATGTGTTTCCTCTGGGCATCTATTTAGATAGATGGTGATTAAATGATATTGCTATTTCTTTTTAAGCTCCATTGGACTTTAGAATACAACTTTATATCTGAATAAAAATGCAAACTAGTAACAAATTTCTAGTAAATCAGGTGATGAATAGTATTTTCTAGTTACTCCTTAGGCAGTAACAATGATGTTAAATTTCCTTTTATAAATTACATAAACAGTACTAAAGCTTGCTTTATTAATGCCTTAACTAGTTTTAAAGTGCCTTCATATTAGTTATGTTTAATGTTGCTAATACATCAGAAAGCTAGACAAATAATTTTTCAAGTTTGCTTATACCCTTGCCATCTTAAGCTCAAGAAATTGTTGACACAATCAGTACCATATCTGTATGTAGCTTTTATGGTTCTCAGCACCTACCTTGATAGGTTGTTATGAAGATGAAATATGGTAACATGGGTACAAAGCCTAGCCACAAATCTCACACATAATGTGTGTTCAATAATTGTGCTGTCTCCTCTTTCCACTTTTCCTTATGTTTTATGTTGGATGTTAAGCTCTTTCAATCTAAAACTATTTTTATAGTATTAATTTTGCCTATTTGAAATTTCATTCTCAATTACTATGGGTACTACTGTCTTTTCTTACTCTATTTCAAGACATTTCTCATTCAGAATTTGTCTTGTGGGTGATGTCAGAGGCAGTTAATTTGGGCTTTTGATGTACCTAACTAGAATAAAGTAAGTCCAAAAATAATACCTGTTCAGGTGTCCTGGCACGAGTATGGATCATCTGTCTTGCTATCTTCCTTTATAGAATTTGGGAATCCCACTAGTACTCTAAAATAGAAGTTCAGAAGCTGTTTTGATGCTTACTTTGCATTTCTAATATTCAATTAGAAATAAGACTTTAATATTTAACCACTATTAATGCCAAATAAAAAATACTACTATTTTGATTAAGTTTTTTAAGTATTGTAAGTAAGCTGCTAATTTTAATATTATACTATTTCAAATTTTCTTATAAATGAAATGGAAATTTCCGGTTACTGAAAAATAACCTTATCCATTTCTTGACCTATATATGGTTTGTCCTATCAACCTCTGGTTGTTTGATAATATTTGAGTTCCTAAGGATTTAAACCTGTTGTTAATTTGCTTCTACAGATTGGAATGTGTACTTAGTATTAAAGAGGTTATATTTTACTTATGACTCTTAATCTCTTCCTTTGTGATCCTTTGTGCAATGAGGTTATTATCCAGCTTAAAAAATGATCAAAAAACATAGTTGTCCAGGTTCATGGTCAGGTGATCAAAAAACATAGTTGTCCAGGATCATGGTCAGGTGATCATGCTCATTTCATAGGTCATTTACATATTCCTCTGTCATAGTCACTAACTCACCAATCAAGAATTTCTGAGCCTCTATTAGCTATTTTGGTCATCTTTTGAATATCAAAATTTTAACTTGAGATTAATCTATTTTTCTTTTTCTTGGCTTTTTTTTTTTTTTTAAGATTTATTTATTCATGCAGAACTGGGGTATCAGACAAAGGTGCAGGGGCAGTGAGAGGCTTCACCAAAGACAAAGTGGGGAGCAGAACAGGCTGAATATCAAAGTACACTGCTGAGGGGAGCAGTGGGTGGGTTAGGAGAGGTCTGCCACACCATGAGGTTCATCTCCACGGCGGGCAGGGATCGAACTCATGCTGAAGTAGCTTTAGGTTCTTAGTGCTGTCCTTTAACTGCTGTGCCACCAGGGAGAGCCTCTTCCTTGGTTTTAAAGCATCCTCCATTAATCTTGTTTGAAGTATAGTTGCTGAGGTTCTCTTCTTCCTATGATGGCTGTAATCAAGATGATTCCATCTGTTTTATTCTGTTTGCCACTACCCTCATAATTATTATTACTGTTGTTACTTTTTTATAAAAGCATGCACTTACTATAGGACTGAATCAGAATTGTGGTAATTTGTTTTCTCATATTTAAAAAATTATTCACCTTTTTTTATTTTACATATAGAGAATGTACAGTCAGTCTTAGGACACTTGTTCTTTTGCTATTGCCTTTATGTTTTGGTTTCACTGTTTAAAATACTTCAGTTATCTGAATGTTTTGTGTTTAATGAAAGTTTTAAACAAAATTTGATTGAAATATTTAATTTTTTTTATTGCAGAATACAAAATCTTATTTAAGATTTAGTGAATACGGAAATTTGTCTTTACTCATTTCCACATTTAGAACAAAAAGAAATTTTACTGAAATAGAAATTGATTGGAAAATAAATCAAATGTGGCCTGTTCCTCCCAAGAAAACTCAAATGCAGCTACTTAATTGGGAAGTGTAGTAGAAAATAAACTGCATTTTTGTAATGTAATCAATGTGTAAAATGCCAAGCTAGTTTAATGGGCATGGGACCTTCTATTTGGTAAAAATGCTGCAGAGAATATGAGCAGGATATCAAAGTATCCTACAAAAAAGATGTTGTTTCAACAATGAAATAAGGACAGTTTATGCTCATTTTATAAGTCATTTACATATTCCTCTGTTATAGTCACTAACTCACTAATAAAACCTACAGATTATTTTCCAAAGTTATGTTTTTGAACTCAAGCACACTATTACTTGTTAAAAGTTTTTGCATACTATTTCAGCGACATTATAATTGATCAAAGTTGTAAACATAAGAAAACATTTACTGAAATGTTATTTTAAAGCAATTATTATTAAAACATACTAGTATAATGTTGAATGAATAAAATGGAATGGAGAGCTTCAACTAAATTTTCAAATGTGATAGATGTGCATGTATGCACAATGTATAAAACTGGTCTATAAATATGGCTATTATAGCTAAAGTAATAGAGAATTGGAGATTACTTTGAAAAGTATTCAGAAAATTGAAGAAAGATTTGATACTATCTTCTGGCTTTGATTAGGACCAAGAATAGTCTTGAAAATTATTTGGTGACAGTTGGTGAGTCAGCCATTAGTCTTTTTGCTAATGTGAAACTGTAGCTAACTTTATTTATTGTGATGGTTGGCTTAATAGATACACGGTTAGTAGATTAAGGTAAATAGGTCCTAGTTTATTGGGAAGAAAAGCCAAGGTGACTAGAGGGGTCTTAGATACATGAGGAGGTTTGTAGAACAGAAGCATGTGAAAATCCATTGAGGGAAGTAGGAAGTAGTTGGGGATGGTGAACTGTACCTCAATAGGATAGTTAGTATCCATCCTCTTTATCACTTCAGTTTGGTTTTGTTTATAAACATTTCTGGATATTTCATATTTGTTTACTGTAGTTTTCAATATATCCATTTTGTTCATTACACACATAGGTGAACTAAACCTGACCAATGGAACCTACCCAACCCTTTTTGTTGATTTCAGTTAAACTTTAATTTTGGAACAATTATTAAATATTGTTAGTTTGCTTTTGAATAAGAAATAATTCAATTGTTACTGTACATAATTTTAAGTATTAATGCTTAATTTGATTCCACAGGTACTCTAAAATTTTATGGTTTTAAGAATCTTCTGAAAAAAATTTTTGGAAATGTGATTTTTGTTTGATTTCTTTTTATAATACATTTACAGTGGATCTCTCAGTATGGTGTGATTTGATTTCTACTAAGGACTCCTTTTAAATACATACCACTTTATTTTAATATTTTTATGTTTTGGTGCCTACTATGAAGTCAGAGTTCCATTTTAATAAGAAAATCATATTAAAGCATGCTATTGTTTCCTAAAGGATTATAAAATATGTCTTCAGATCATTAGCAGGAAAGAAGATGGCAATTGTATTTACTGTTCCATGTTAACTCTGCTGTATAATCTTTTGAAACTTTTTAATAGTACATTATTGAACTTGAAATCAGTCTTACCAAATAATTGTTTTGTATTGTTGTGAAGTTATATTTGTAAATTGAGTGTTTGTTTACTTTTTTCTCTGGTTTTAGGCAACAGTACTTCAAATTAATTGATGAGTGTGTATCTCAGATTGTATTGCATAGAGATGGGATGGATCCAGACTTCACATACCGGAAAAGACTAGACTTAGATTTAGGTCAATTTATTGGTAAGTATTTATATATTACTTAAGTGGAAATATTGTACTGTCTTTTATTCTGTGAGTGAGCTATAGATTATTGGTTTTTAAATCTGACCTGTAGACTCCTTTGAGCTCTTTGATTTCCTTTCAGGGAGTTCTAATAGAATCTATTTTCCTTAACAATACTAAGATTTTAGTTGTCTTTTTTATCGTGCTGATGTCTGCATGGGTGGTAAAAAACAATGGTCGGTAAAGCTTTGGGAGCTTTGTTGTTTATCATGGCAGTGAGACTAAACTTTATTAGTAGTCAGTGTATTGCTTAGAGTAAAGTCAAGAAAAATTTGCTATTTTTTAAGTTGTCTTTAATGGAGAAGTAAAAGTGATATTTTTATCTAATAGCTACACTTGAGTACTCATAGTTTTAATTGTCCCTCTGACAAAATGAGATGTGTACATAAAACACTGTTACTCCATACTAAGTTAAGTGCAGGAAATATTTGTATAATTGACTTTTTTTTATTCATTAATTCACAAGAGTGATAGTCACACAAACTATGGCCAAACTGAATTGTTTTGCATACACTGTTGAAAATGAAGTATGCCTGTAACCTCAGTGAAAATGACTGATTGAATTTGTTACCATGAGAATATCTTAGTATTTTAGTTTGCATTCATTACTATTAACAGCTTTTCAATATAAAAGCTTTTTTTTTTTCTAAATGGGAAAGGTGGTGTTATTAACCTACATGATTACTTTGAAATCATATGATAAGATCTATCAACTGCTTTTCCGAGGACCAATGCCTGATGTTACAAAATCTGTAAGGGTACAAGATTTATGGATTTTACAGTAATAGGGTACAAAATACTCACTGCTATTCTATATAATTTTACATTATAACTAATATTAAAGTAATTAGCATATATCAACTTTTGGGATAATATCAAAAGAGAATATACCCCATTATTTGTTTGAGGTTGTTCTTTTTCCCTATAGTTTCTGAGTCTAGGGTGATTATGCAAAATGTAGAAATAGTAAGGAATTCATAATTTTATATATAGATAAAGGATATATTGGTTTCTTTCCATAAGGGAAAAACAATTAAATATTCCTTGCAGTTGGAGGGACACAGAAATTAAGAAAAGTGTGCTTTAACTCTGTGGAAAATTAAAAATAAAGAATAATTTTAAGTGGTATGTGAAATGAAATATATTTTACCTGGACACTAGTAGGTCATTTTTCTTGATTATGTAAGAGGTTTTGATATATAATTTTTAGTAGGAAAAATAATCTTTGAGCCAGTCTATAAAAAGGAGAAATAGCTGAATAGCTATAATAAAATAATTTTTAAATTTTAAATATTTGAAATAAACTTTTAAAAACAATGCAGAAGACTTAAATACAGCAGAGAATGACAAGGTAATTAACTGAGTAGATGAGGGAAGACATGAGGCTGGACAATGGGGGAGATAGGCTTGAAAGTGGGGAGGCACAGATAATTTCACATATTAGCCGAAGTTAGCGGTACTTACCATAGTAGTACTCAGTGCCTCAGAGAAAGAAAATTTAGAAAGCAAATAAATAAAAAATTAGGATTAAATGGCGAATATTTGCATCTTTTGTAGTAGGAGTTACCACTAATATCTTGAAAGTTAAATCAAGAAGTAGTGATATACCCATTTTATTAGGAGCTAAGAAACCAGTCATCAACATAACATAAAGACAGAGAATGCTAAGACATCTCATGTAAGAATTGGAATGACTTGGATAAAGTGGCTTGGTTTACTATTTCATTTGTAAATTCTTCTGTAATATAATTCATTTTTCCAGTTTTACTGCGATATAATTGATACATATCACTGCATAGTTAAGGGGTGTAATGATTTTGATTTTTTTAAAAAAACATGTTCATATATTTTATTTATGAAAAGCATAAAATACAGCATAGGGAAATCTGTGTGTATTTTTTTTTTAACCTATTCTGATCATGTGGCTATGTATCATAGTCTGTTTTAATCAACCCACTATCAGTGGGCCTTTATTTTCAGTATTTTTTTCTTAAACAGTTTTTTTTTTTGAAGATTTATTTATTTATTCATACAGAATTG